ATACGCCGATAAAAACAAAAATCTTTATTTTCATTTAGGGTGCTAAAGTCGCTAAAGTCAATCGTATTTTCACATTCTTCATTAAAAAGTTTAGCAAAATATCTCATTCACCTTTGTTGAATATCACCTTCTAAGAAAAGTACTTTTTGATCTTCATTCTTAATACACTTCACTTGAATTAAATCATTACTACTCTTATCTCTTTGTTTGACTAACTTATACACATATCTTTCTTCCTCCTTAGTATCTAATCTATTATATAAGTTATTAAAAGCTAAGCTCTTTGCATCGCAAATAGCTTTCTTATATTCCATGCAAGCCTCTTTATAGCTTTCCCAATTATCAAAATTTTTACATCTAAACCAATTTTTATAACAAATCTTCTTATTTTTTATCTTTTCTTGCACATTTGGATTCCACCACCAACTATTTTTATTATTATGAATTTTTTCCTTCAAAACTCCAAGCACATCTTTTGCAATATTTTTAATATCACTAGCCATTTTTTCCACATAACATTAGCATCCTCATGCACAGATAAAATATTAAGATCTAAAATATTACTCTCAAAAATATTTTTATCCCCATCTAATCTTAGAAAATTGTTTTACTTTATTTTATATTTTCTGCCGCTTTATCTTAAAATCCAAAACTAATAATCGATGTTGGGTACATAAATTTTCACTCGGAATAAATTTACAATTTTTACAATCTAAACGATCTAATTTTCTTATAAGAAATAATCAATCTGCATTTTTCTATATCTATTTTTATAAGTGATAAGATGCTCATCTCTTTTCTTAAATAAGATACAAAAAAGAAAAAGGGTGTAAATCAAAGTTAAATTGACTAAAATTTAAAAATAAATATTTTTAAAAACTAGGTTTAACAAAATGCACTACAATAGCCATGAATAAGAACAGTGATAAATACAACCCCAAATACCTAGGATAAGGTTAATATGATGAGACAGATCTATTTGATCCTCTTACAACATGGCTAAGAAAAATGTTAAGAGGAAAACATATCTAGGGTAATGAAATTTCTAACTGTTACACTACTTGACATGAATGTTAATCGACCATGTAGTTGTTATGAAAGTAATAACATGGTAATCCAACCTACAGTATCTTACGAATTAGACTAATATGAGTAATAGTCCCTATTTATCTAACTGAGATATTATTTGATGATGAATCAGAGAAGCTCCTTCCAATGACAAAGAATAGTGCATACATGTGACAAAGTTGGGTGATGCTATTGATAATTTCTATAATAAAAATGTAAACTTGGATGTTGTTTAGATGTAATACAAACTTCAAATAAATGACCTGTGTGGGTGTGGAAGCATGCCGTTTCCAATGAGAGCTAAAGCATGTTCTCACAGGTGCTCATGAAATCCAGGTCTGGTGTAAGACCACCTGTGCTAAATCACGTTAAATAATCGTGCATAAATAGTGTGGAAGGTGGTTATATTTTCATTCATGTTAAAAGAATAGGGTTCATAGGATCATAGTTTTACCAAAATTCATTGGATAAACTCTATACATACCGCATGCATTAGTTCACGGTTTAAAATTTAAAAGAAACAAATGTTTACCATTTACATTATCATGTGCATGATTTGTTGTTCTATCTTCTTTAAAATATGTCAACTGACCCAAGCCAAACCAAAATATTTTGCTTTAGTAACACATCAAGCAAGAAAGTAAGGCTTTGCGTGTTCATCTTCTATCTTAACCTAATCCTAGTCTAGTTGTACCTGATTTGAGGGTGAAATCAATGAAATTGATGAGTGAATTTCAGAATAGATCAACATGGTCCCCATTTATTTGAGCCTCTCTAACATTCTATTTGTTTCACTTGTTAGTGATTGGTTTTTTTAAGCTCTATAATGAGATGCATTGGCTACTTAACGCTTGATTTCGGTCTTCTTTATTTATTTTCTCCAAATGACCAATATTCTGATTCTTGTCGCTATCTTCCCTCCAATTGACTTTGAATGGCATTCATCGCATGCATTGCTCTGGATTGTATACCATCCACAACGCAAGTACTCCAACATTTATATTCATGATATTAGTATACATGCTTGTCGTATTACACATGCATGAATCATCGCACTCATAAGAAAATATCATCACTTTCTTCATTTTACTACTCTGTTTTCTTCATTTCCCATTTATTTGGTCTTACAATCCTCTTTTTCCTTTTCCGATCAATTTGCACTGCAAGAGACTAATGTGAATCAAACAAGTTGATGAATCAACCTCCCTTCAAGTAACTTCTGCACGAACAAAACATCTCCGAAGAGTATAAATGGTCCTTAAGTTTGTACTAAAGCGGGCCTAATTCATAAGAATTCTTATCTCATATCTCTGAATCACCTTTTCTTTTATTATGTATCGGCAGCAAATTGTTTCAGACACCTTAAAGATACAACGGCAGGGAAACGGAACGAAAACAGGGAGAAGTGTATTAAACAGAGTAAAATTAGTTGAAATCTCTTACACGTCGAGTTGCTCAATTATAGTTCCATCCTTCAGAACCTCAAGGAAGAAAGGATGCAACGGGGGTTCGCTCCATGGCGGAATCGTGTAAGGAATCGTAACTTGCTGAGAACCGGATGAATTGGAGCTTGCATTGGGGCTGGGACTAGGGCTAGGGGTGAATTTATTGGGCGATTTGTTTTCCGTCTCCTGCGACGTGTCCGAAGGCAGCCTGCTGGCCTCGTCGGCGGAAACTTCATTCTCGCCTGCGGCATCCTCAACGGCCGTATCGGCGGCATCGGAATTAGGAGGAGGGCTAGGGTTTTTGGGAGGAGGAGGACCCATAGAACCCTTCATGGTGCCCTCGGAACCAAGAGACCGCGATCCAGCCACGGGACTTGGTGGGTTGCCCTCGTTGCTGCGTGGGTCGGCAAAAGGCACGTGAGGATGGTGGGTTGCCCTCGTTGCTGCGTGGGTCGGCAAAAGCCACGTGAGGAGGGGATATGAGGCGCCTCGGAGATCATTCGTTTTTTAGTGGGGTTGATAAAAGGGAAAGTGGGAAACTAAAGTCTACGTGGCGAGAATCCTCTTAGGTTGAGAAATGTATATATTAGTTTTTTATTTCTAATGATCATATCTAATTAATTTTTATAACAAAATATTTCTGCTATCTTCATATTCTGCTTTAAAATAGTTGTTATATTCTGGAACATTTGTGGTAGAATAGTGATTTAAAATTTATTATTCTAATTTTGTACAAAAAATCCAGCACGTAAATAAATAAAGAAGTTGGATAAAACATTCATAACAGTAGGGGTGTCAATATTGGACGCGACCTAAAAACCAGACACGAACACGACAAGGAAATTTTGGGTTTGTGTTGACTCGAACCCGAACCGGATCAGGTTCGAGTTAGAGTTTTTGACCTGCTTCAGAAATCTGGTCGGGTTTCGGGTTGACCCAAAAACCGAAAAATGGACCGGAACTGACCCGCTAATCGAGCTGCCCAGATGACCACCGCTGCACGTGGCCAATCCTGCGTGGCCGCGTGACCCCTGCCGCTTGTCAGTTGAGGCGCTAAATGATCTTCCTCGTTATCAATCACCACTGACAGTGCCCAATACCGCCCTTGCCCCGCTTGCCTGCTGTTGCCCGTCTGTTCGTGGCAAATCCCGCCCCTGCCCGGCTGCCCCACTCGCCCGCGTCACCACGTGTCCGCGTGCCTGCATCTGCATGTCCCGAGGAGGCGAGGACTCGAGCCCGAGGGCCGCCGTTCGCGTGACCGTGTCCAGGCCCGCGTGAGCCGTGAGGGCTAGCCAAGCTGGACAGATGTCGCGTCCAGGCCAATCGCACATGTTAGCACCCGATTTCGGGTCGTGTTGAGTTGACCCGAACCCGAAAAGTTACTCTTGAATATAGGCTTCGACTCAAGTTTCTGGCAACAAACAACACAGCGGAGTACGAGGCCCTTATCGCTGGATTGAGACTAGCAATTGACTATGAGGTCCATAACTTAATAGTCCACACTGATTTCCAACTAGTTGCCTCTCAGGTGGAGGGGGAGTTCGACGTCCACAATCCACAACTTGCCCATCACTGCAGCATTGTAAAATTACTCTTAGCCGTATAAGAGAGCATCAGATCATACATGTTCTTCGAGAGCAAAGTACGAGAACATACGCTCTTTCCAAACTTGTTACATCAACAACATGAGACATATACAATATAAAGTGTATTGAGGAGATCCACTTTCCAAGTATTCAAGGTCCGTGGGTCATACAATCAATCGATGAACCAAGATAGGCGTCTTGGATCGATCCCATCTTGTCTTTTCTACAAGATGGGGTATTGCCTGAAGAACCCATAGTTGCAACAAGACTTCGAAGACGAGCAGCAAAATTCACCATTATTAGTATTGAGTTGTATATGTGCGCCTTCACCGGACAATATCTCAAGTGTCTTTCACCTTCAAAAGCTGATTACGCACTCCTAGAAGTTCATTCAGGAGTATGCGGAGAACATCTGGTATGAAGAGCATTGACTTATAAAAGTATGATATAGGGATTCTATTGACCTACAATGAAACATAACGCACTTGAGTTTACACATAAGTGCAAAAACTGTCAGTTGCATTCCAATCTCACTCATACACCTGCTATGAAACTTGATCACTTCAGAGCCCCTAGCCTTTTGCCAATAGGGAATTAATACAATAGGACCCTTCCCTATAGCCACTAGACAACGAAAATTCATTATCCTGACTGTAGATTACTTCACCAATTAGGTAGAGGCAGAACCTTTTGGCAAAAATTACTGAAACAAATGCCAATCAATTCTTATGAAAGAATATAATCTGTCGTTTTGGCATTCATGCAAGAGTCATTACTGACAATGGGACACAGTTTACTTGAAAGGTTTTTACATCTTTTTGTAAAGATTTTCATATTCAACTACTCCACACAGTTGTTGACCATCCTCAAGAAAATGGGCAAACGGAGGTCACAAATTGAACGATTTTGAAAGGGTTGAAGACACGCCTAGGGAAGGCTGGGGGGCAATGGGCTGAAGAACTCCCTAATGTCCTTTGGGCTTATCAGACCACTGCCAGAACTCCTACAGGAGAAACCCCATATAACCTCTATTTCGATACAGAAGTAGTCATACCGATTGATATTGGAGTCCCGAGCAACATAGTTTAGACTTTTGACTGTAATAACAACAAAGAGAGGCTCAGGACAAATTTAGATCTCCTTCCTGAAGTAAGAGATAAAACTTCACTCAGGACTGCTACATATCACCAGCGAATTGCTCGTCACAACAATTAGAGAGTGAAAACCTCGACCTATCTCCAGTGGGGACTTAGTTATGTGAAGCATCGAAGCCGCTAGAAAAGGACCTCAGCGCAAAAAGTTCTCCCCCCTATGGGAAGGTCCTTACTTGGTGGCGGCTATGGTTAAGCCTGAAACCTTCAAACTGAATGATGCTATTGGAAAAATGCTCTCCCGAACTTGGAATGTGGGCAACCTTTGCAAATACTATCAGTAGGAGTTGATACTGCTATTTGTTTGGTGTGATGTTGTTCATAGTATTTGTCTTGCGTTATGTCCCCTCAAATAATTATGATTTATATATTTTAAGTTTTTCATACGCCCCTTTGTTTGTTGATTGTAGAAGAATGCTTTATCAGTATCCCAAAAGTTTTATTAGGGAATTGTTGTATTGTATTACATAATACAGTAATGTGGTGTTCCATTTATTGTGATATTATATCTTCTCCTCAAACTCTTTTCTCGTGATTCGAGAAATATACAAGCTACATTATATCTCAATCACTGAACGATTAATCATAGGGGGATTCGATCCGACCTCTTCCATATAGGTTAAAATCATCAAGCAAATTATTTGATTAACAACCTCGGATAGGTCAAGATATCTAAGGAGGATATCTCTCGCAATCACTTAAGTCAGAAGAGGCTGTCAAAATATTTCTCATTGAAATAAAGTAGAATCAATTTCATATGCATGGGAAAAAGAGAAATATCGTTTTATATAAATCACTGAAACATCAAGTACATCATACAAAAACACCAACACCAGAAACACATATATAATCACTATAAGGAAAACAAAAGTGATACAGACAACATCAGAACAATCCTACATGATCTCAATATTATCCTCGTCCTCGTCCAAAGAAAAAACATGCTGCAACTCACTCTCTAACTCTTCACCACTAGAGTCTGGAGAAGGGTCACCATAAGCATGGCTAGGAGTCAACCCCTCGATCTCCACTCCAGTCTTACACTGCACTGCACGAACGCCCTTCATAAAACCTCTGATGAAGCCATCCTCTACGCACTCTGCCTCCAAAGTTTTCACCTCCACATCATAAATATGATTACGAGCCTCCTGAATATGATCCTAACTCATCAGCTCGTCGGCAACCAATGCACTTATGTTTCAAAATATATTCTGGAATGTATATCTTGGATTGAGAGAAACGAGGACCTTTGTTGGTGACTGCCAAAATTTCATTCGCCTTCTTCTTCTCTGACAACATACTCTCGCAATCACTTAAGTCAGAAGAGGCTGTCAAAATATTTCTCATTGAAATAAAGTAGAATCAATTTCATATGCATGGGAAAAAGAGAAATATCGTTTTATATAAATCACTGAAACATCAAGTACATCATACAAAAACACCAACACCAGAAACACATATATAATCACTATAAGGAAAACAAAAGTGATACAGACAACATCAGAACAATCCTACATGATCTCAATATTATCCTCGTCCTCGTCCAAAGAAAAAACATGCTGCAACTCACTCTCTAACTCTTCACCACTAGAGTCTGGAGAAGGGTCACCATAAGCATGGCTAGGAGTCAACCCCTCGATCTCCACTCCAGTCTTACACTGCACTGCACGAACGCCCTTCATAAAACCTCTGATGAAGCCATCCTCTACGCACTCTGCCTCCAAAGTTTTCACCTCCACATCATAAATATGATTACGAGCCTCCTGAATATGATCTTCAATAATTATCTTGAAGGCATAAGATTTCTTGAACTCTTATACGGCTGTAGACGGCGACTATTGAGCTTCCTTCTCTGACAACATACTCTGGAGCCTCTTATTCTCAGCTTCAAGGATTTGCTGATCTCTCAATTGTTGGTTGTTCATCGTCTGTGCCTCCACCAATTCTATATGTAGACGATCCATATGCTCATTCTGGGAGGAAACCGAAGTGATCTTGTTTGCCAACTCTGCTCTACACTGATCAAGTTGATCCTCCACCGCCTTCATCTCCTTCACTTTACCGTCATATTTCTTCTTGTATTCCCCATGAAGGTATTTAACATTCACGAATTCGTCATTCCAGTCATCGAAGGATTTATTCTTCTCAAGTTGCTGTTCCAAATGAAGTAACAAGTGAGGAATATATCCTTTAAAAGTGTATATATATATATATATATATATATATATATATATACATACAAAAGGAAAAGAGAAAGAATGAACTCACCAACTCATCAGCTCGTCGGCAACCAATGCACTTATGTTTCAAAATATATTCTGGAATGTATATCTTGGATTGAGAGAAACGAGGACCTTTGTTGGTGACTGCCAAAATTTCATTCGCCTTCTTCTTCTCTGACAACATACTCTCGCAATCACTTAAGTCAGAAGAGGCTGTCAAAATATTTCTCATTAAAATAAAGTAGAATCAATTTCATATGCACGCGAAAAAGAGAAATATCTTTTTATATAAATCACTGAAATATCAAGTACATCATACGAAAACACCAACACCATAAACACATATATAATCACTATAAGGAAAACAAAAGTGATACAGACAACATCAGAACAATCCTACAGGATCTCAATATTATCCTCGTCCTCGTCCAAAGAAAAAACATGCTGCAACTCACTCTATAACTCTTCACCACTAGAGTCTGGAGAAGGGTCACCAGAAACATGGCTAGGAGTCAACCCCTCGATCTCCACTCCAGTCTTACGCTGCACTGCACGAACGCCCTTCATAAAACCTATGATGAAGCCATCCTCTACGCACTCTGCCTCCAAAGTTTTCACCTCCACATCATAAATATGATTACAAGCCTCCTGAATATGATCTTCAATAATTATCTTGAAGGCATAAGATTTCTTGAACTCTTATACGGCTGTAGACGGCGACTATTGAGCTTCCTTCTCTGACAACATACTCTGGAGCCTCTTATTCTCAGCTTCAAGGATTTGCTGATCTCTCAATTGTTGGTTGTTCATCGTCTGTGCCTCCACCAATTCTATATGTAGACGATCCATATGCTCATTCTGGGAGGAAACCGAAGTGATCTTGTTTGCCAACTCTGCTCTACACTGATCAAGTTGATCCTCCACCGCCTTCATCTCCTTCACTTTACCGTCATATTTCTTCTTGTATTCCCCATGAAGGTATTTAACATTCACGAATTCGTCATTCCAGTCATCGAAGGATTTATTCTTCTCAAGTTGCTGTTCCAAATGAAGTAACAAGTGAGGAATATATCCTTTAAAGTGTATATATATATATATATATATATTCAAAGTTCTGTTGACTCACCATATTGTTTTTATGGCTTTTGTTATCTGTTGATAGATTTTCATGGACATGGCAGTGCTAGTTGAGGCGCAAGGAGAAATGTTGGATAATATTGAAAGTCAGGTTTTGATTTTGTGCTCTTATATGGAATTTCTACAATTCGACTTTTTAAATTAATTTTCTCATTTGCATGTGAAGAATCAATCACAATTAGGTTATTGGATAGTCAAATCATTGCAAAGTCTATTTTAGTGTTTTGTTAGAAAA